CCCTTCGCTCCTCCTCCCTACTGCAGCACCGAGACTGGAGAAGCTCTGCACGGAGGTTGTGGTGGGGAGAGAGAGCTCCTCCCGCCCTGGGGCTGTGGCAGGGGGAGATTTTTCCAGCCTGTTGGCCCATGCAGTAATCTGGCACTGGTTCTCCCATTGCTGTGCTAAATCCACCTCCCTGAGAAGCAGTCACTAGGTTGATGGAAGAATTCTTCTATCAACTTAGCACTGTCTACACCAGGGTAGGCCAGCTTAACTACGTCTTTCGGGGGCGTGGATTTTTCACATCCTCGAATGACATAGCTGGGTCAAACTAACATGTCAGTGTAGACCTGGCCCCTCTCTCTCTCTCTCTCTCTCACACACACACACACACACACACACTGCACTGGCAGCGACTCCTGGGCAAAGGGAAGTGCGGGAAATTAAAAGCATGACACCAACAAAAAAATCCAATGAGAAAAATCATGATATCAGCACGTCGGTCATTTAAAAAACAAATACAAACTGCAGAGACAAATGTTCATGGACACACATGAGAGAGACATCCAGAAACTTCCTATAGGCACTCCCGTGGACAGCGACAGTCCGTGCCTGCCACTGGGGAGGGGGCGGGGGGACAGAGTGAGGGCAGCCGGCTTCAGCAGTGTTACTGAGCATGCTCAGTCCATGGGAGCATGCTCAGTACAAATTGTGCAGCAAATCCGGGGGGGTACATGACCCCCCTATGTGTTGCCTCGGCACGTGGAAATTTAATCACACATGCATCACACTCAGGAGCATGTGGTCACAACAAAACCCAAATACTGCCCCCACACGGAAGCCGTAGAGCGAGAAACACCCTGACACACACACATTTATTGTCTCAGAGGGACACAAACATTCACATCCCAGGCTCTTAAGCTTGGGCTCCACTTAAAAGTTATATCAGCATAACCACAACGGTCAGGGGTGTGAAAAATTCACACCCCTGAGCAGCATAGTTCAGCCAGCCTAAGTATCCATGTAGCCAGCACTAGGAAGAACTCTTCCGTCGACCTCTCGGGGAGGTGGATTACCTACGCCAATGGAAGAGCCCCTCCTGTCAGCGTAAGTTGTGTCCACACTGAAGCACTACAGTTGTGCCACGGTGGTGTTTTCAGTGTAGACAAGCCCCAACATCTACTAGCCCATATTTAAATCCTAGTCTAGACAAGGCCAGCGATACTCACTCAGAGGCAGAAATACCCATCTCTGCTTTGGGCACCTACCAGATACTCCCAGCTCCTCCTCTCACCAGTCAGTTTAAATCCCAGGAGTTTTTCTCTCTCTTCCCTCAGAGCCTGCAGTCGAGCCTTGACTTGCTCCTGAGAAGAGAAAAAGGGTTTGGTGGGATTTCTGTTTTGGGTGGGGGAGGAGTGAATCCAATTCAGATTTCATTTAAATAAACTCTTTACCAGCTACTCTACCTCATGGGGAGAACTTTCTTAATGTCACTTGCATGTAAATTCCATGGATGGATGGGGCCAAGTCTGCCTCCCATAATTCACTGGGTCCCCCCCCCCCCCCCCCCACCC